CATGTATTGCCGTTACGATTTGATACTAGCGGGCGGGCAGTGGTGCGGGTCTCCCTCTTGCGTGGCGGTAGTGTTATTCCCTTTTCGTCCCGCAACCTCCTTTTCAGATGCAATGTCCTGGAATATCAGAGCGGCAATTTATATAGCCAAGTTTGGTCAGAATTGTCCAAGTCGTGGTGAACCACATACTCTTCTAGTAGACGCTCATTTTCCGGATACCAGCTTATTGCCTTCTCGAACATGGAGATAGCGAATTCTACGTCATCTCTTTCATCAAGTGCCGTCTTCCCGGCGATAATACAAGCCCTAGCGAATTTGCCCCTGTCGATTTTCGTACCGCTAGGATAACGTCAGACTGGGAGATAAAGGAACTACGATTTAACTTACCTCTTCGAATATTTCTCATGCTTTGTTTCTAATCCTTTGTTCAAGTTCTTGCGATATCGATGCTTCTCCGAGTCTATGGTTCTCGCTGAACTTTCTTCAGACGCCCCACCTGCCTGTTGTTGTGGCATCTCAGGCATGATTGGAGGGGCTTTACCAGACAACTGGTCATTAGAGATTGCATCCTCTATATAAGGTTCTTCCATGGGTAAGTCGACTGGCTCCAAATGATCAGACTCCGGATTAGGTAACCACTCGCATGTGGTTTCCCTCAATATCGCATCTTCAATTTGGACATTATATAGATTTTGTTTTGTAGTGTTCTCCGATGGCTGAATGGAGGGAACATCCTTTTGAGGTGTGCAATCTGTTGTATTCTCCTGGAAATTCGAGGTTATTTCCTGTTGAGCAGTCTCGAGACCTAGAGAAAAATGATTGTCCAGTGATGACGTTTCAGTGCTGTTGTGCTCCTCTGACACAGGCTGGCCTTCCGGCATGACATTATGGGGAAATCCAGATCTGTCTCTTAGGAGATTATGGGCGAGTATAGACGTGAGAATCGCTGGTTTCACCGGGGACTGATTTTGGATGATGCTGTTCACTTGTTTGCTAACTGCATCGTCGACCATGCGTCTGAAATAAACATCAAACTAGTAGATGTATATCAGAAGAAATTTTCAACGACGAAGAGAAAATCAAGACACTTGCCTCCGGATCCGCACTACAGATACGTTCAAATTTGTCCTGCGCCTGTCCTACATT